GAACCAGCCTTCTTTTTCAGCTCACGGATGGGCATGCGGGCCCGGGGACAGTGCCCTCCAGCAACGGCTGTCTTGCTCTGCTCCTGCTGGCGTGGCTCTGCACCCAGCCCCGCGCTGCCCAGCCCCGCCAGCCGTGGTGCTCAGTGGACAGCAGACACCTGACATGTGTCCTGCCTGGGTGACTCCGGGGGGCCTGGGCCCAGAGAGGCAGAAGGCCATCGCTCCAGGATGCGTCGAACAGGCGCTCGTCCTGGGCAGCCTTCCCCGGAGCACACCTGACCAGGCGAGGCTTAGTGGGAGGGCAGGAACAAGCAGGCCCTCAGGCAGGACTGATTCTGAGCTCCCGGCTTCTCTCCCACGAAGGAGAGGGGCTCGGAGGCTCTGAGCGGCAACATGGTGGAGGTGTACGGAGCCTCTGCCCCGGGTCTCCTGAGCCTCTTCTCCCAGATGCCAGCCGAGCGGCCAGCCCCTCCGCCAAGCTCCTCACTGCAGCTGGGCAGGAGGCCTGGGGACGGCCCCTTGGGGACAGAGTTGTGGGCACAGGAAGGGCAGCCTGGCCCTGGCAGGAGTAGAGTGTGAGCCGGCTCCCCTACCTGCAGGGACAGCGCCGCACTCCTGGCGGGGAGAGCAGCCTTTTGCGTTTTGGCCACTGGTGTCTAAGGGTGACTGTATCGGTTAGACTGCCGACCCAAGCCTGGCCAGTGGGGGGCTGCTGCAAGGCTGGGGTTCAGCTGGGTCTCTGTGGTGGGGGCAGATGCAGGGCGGGCCAGACTGCCTTTCAAACGTAGGTGGGCCTGTCCCCCAACCCCTGCCGTCCCGTCCCCAGCCAGTCTCCTCGTGGGGTGCCACGCGGGGCTCACCGCCCCTCCTTGGTGCTCCTCGCTGGGGTTACCTGTTGTCACCTGCCCTCTTTTCACCCAAGCAGCGACGCTAGGCCCAGGGCTTGCCACTGCCACCTTCCTCCCAAGGTGACACCAGAGGGCGCTCCTGCTCCACTCAGGGAAGCGGCCAGGCGCGGCCCCGCTTTGCAGTGCCGCACCTGGGCGGGGTCAGTGTGGAATCAGGCAGCTGGGGAGGGGCCAGGAGGCCTGGGAGAGCCGAGGTCAGAGAGCCTGGATGGAGCGCCCGCCCCAGGGCTAGGCTGGACTCACAGCGCCCCAGGAAGGCGGCCAGGACCCTCGTTGGCTGTGCCCCGCCCCCACGCAGCAGCACCTGAGCCACCCCCACCCCCGCAGCCCTCCCCCTGCAGACTCCTGGCTGTGCTAGGCAGAACGGGGCTGCTACTGGGTGTGGGGCCTCGGCCTCTCGCTGGTGGACCTGCAGCATGGCCCTGCGGACACCAGCTCACAGACGCCAGCCCGGAGCGGCCTGGTGAGGGACCAGCACACTGGGCTAGGCACCCGTCCAGATAACCTTCCCCTGAAGACTGCCCGCCTCCCTTTGCATCACAAAACAGCAAGAACTGCAGCGCAGGGCCAGTCCCGGTGGGCGGGCCTTGGTTTCCCCACTTGGGATGTGTGCCCCTAAATAGCGTGTGCCACCACCCCAGATGCAGCTTGGGAGGGGGCACAGTCCTTCTGGAGATGGAGGGGTCCTGGGCCAGCAGGCGCCAGACCGGGGCCTAGGTGGTCCATGTGGGATGGGGCGCGCCCCCTGCAGGCACACCGACGCCCTGGCCGGGCGGGGTGCTCCCCTAGGTGGCGCTCCACGAAGGGGCAGCTTATTCTTTGATCCTGGCATAGCCGCTCCTGTATTCTTTCCAGTTTCAGGGTCCCCACCCTTATTCCTGCCAGGTCCCACCTGGAAACATGGCTGCCCCATCCCGAAAGACAAGGAGACTGTTAAGGCGTGAGCGTCCACGCGGTTCACGTCTCCTGTAGCAGCACCCAGTGCTTGCTCACTGGCCAGATGAGTTCTTTATGCCAGAGGGCACTGGGGGGGGAGAGGGGGGAGCAAGAGGAGAGGGGGAGTGAGGGAGGGGGAGAGAAAGGGAGAGAGGACGCCCTCTCCCACTGGGGCCTGGTCATGCCACAGCCCCTTTACCTCAGTGCTCCACCCTGTCAGGATCCTGGCATGCGTACACTGTCCCCAGGGTGAAGTTCGAACTCTGGTCGGCCATGTGGGGTCTGGCTCCCTCTGCACAAGCTGCTACACTACAGGGCTGGCCCAGCATAATGGGAGTTTTTCCTATTTGCTTTTAATTCAAGACAATTAAACTTAGCCAGTAAAGAAAAGAAAGCTACCTCCGAGTCCAGACTCCCTTTTTCTCACTGTGGGAGCGTCTCCAAATGGAGGGTCAGCATGGGGTTCCCAGAACTGCTGCGCAGTCCCAGGGTCTATCCTGGCCGGCCTCCCTGCACAGTGGCTCTGCAGTCCTGACGCCAGGTTAGCAACAGGCTTGCGCCCCTCCAGCAGCGGGCATGTCCACCTAGCAGGCCTCCCGACCTGCCACCGAGGCGCCTCAGCGTTCACTGAGGAGCTCATGGACTGGCAGGCTGGGCGGGTGGGCAGGCGGCCATGCCAGCTCCCGCTGCCCCTCCCCAAAGCCAAGCTGAGTTTCAAGATCCTGGCAAGAAGGCCGGCAAACGTCTCTGGAAGGCCAGAGTAACACCGGCTCCGGGGGCCACAGGTTTCAGCGTGGCCTCGGCCCTGCCTCGGGGGTACACAGGAGTTTGGGTTGCCCAGGGAAGTCCCTGACGGGTGTGGCAATCTCGCATTATTTCCATGGGTCAGGAAATAATCCTTGTTATTTATATCTTTTGCCTTCAAATATATATATTTTTTGGAGAGGTTTTCGCCATAGGGCGCATGTGCTTGCCAGACAGACAGAGAGAGACATAGAGACAGAAAGCGAGAAATCACCCCCCAGGGGGGATGGTCACGCCGCAATCCCCTCTCCTCCATTCTCGTCTTGGGATCTTGGGCAAGCACGCACACGCACCCAGCGTGAGTTCTAAGCCACCGGGTCCGGGACACGAACTGCGATCGACTACGTGGGAGTCTAGCGACATAGCCATTACGCTAACTGCTGGTTCCCTTGCCTTCAAATATTTTGAACTGTAAAAACCAAACCCAGCCCAGGAACCAACTTGGTCTCAGGGGCCTAGAACACTGATCCAGCACCGTGCCTGGACAGACCAGGACCAGGTAGCGCTCTGGGGCTTCTAAGCCAGACCTTGGACCTGCCCGTGGGTGGATCAGCACTGGGAGGAGGGGCAGGAGAGCCTGCCTCTGGGGGCCCTGGGGGGACGCGGAGCCCCCGGCTGCCGCGCACATGGGGGCTCTCTCCAGACCTCGGCCCCCACCAGCACTCTCCCACATCTGCCCAGTGTTCCCATGGGGACATGAGGCTGACAGTGGGAGGCTTCATCCTGGGGAGAAGACTGCCAACCCCGCCAGACAGGAGAGAGGCGTACCGTGACAGTGCAGGAGGAGCACCTGCGAGTCAGTGAGACCACTCCCCGTCCCCACGGCCTTGGCCAGAGCATAGCAGCGCAGGAGCCTATGGCAGGGACCACCATTCTGAGACGATCCCCACGAGGGACACAAGAACAGCAGTCTCAAGTACATTCTGGTCCACGGGACGGGGCAGACGGCATCCGCTCAGGAGGGAGGCACGCAGCCTCCTCACAGACACGGGGCAGACCCCTGCCCCGGGCTCCACTGCATGCTCACGGCCCTGGTGTAGGCCCCCAGGCAGCGGCTTCACTCTTCACATACAGCTGTGGGGCTGGGAGAGCCAGGGCAGCTCTGCGGGGCTCCGCTGCCCACCTCCCAGGCTGCTGGCCGGAACTGCCTGGGGCGCCTGCCCTGCTCGGGCCCCAGATCACTGCTCCACAGAGCCAGAGATGGGGGTGCCCATTACCCCTGGTTACCTCTGACTGCCATAGTGCTGGGCTTGAGCAGCCAGGTCCATCCAGGCTGTAAACATTAGCCTCGAACCTGCTACCTACTGAGAAGACCAGACAGGAGTGTTACAGAGGAAACAGGGCTGGGAGCTGGGAGAGGACAGACTGCCCATCCCAATGCCACCCACCTGGGCACACAGCCTCCTGGAAAAGCCCCTCGAGGCCTGACCCTCAGCACAGACGCCCCTCGGGGTCCAGTGGATGCCAGCATTGGCCTGGCCTAGGAGCCAGTGCAGCCAGGTGGGACCGAGGTCTGCCTGATCCTGCCCCACACCTCAAGCACCCTCCAACAGGTCCAACCTGCTGAGGAGCCCACACGCCACCCTTCCGAAGTCAGCTGCAGACGCTTCAGCCCACACGGAGTACGACAGTCGCTTTCAACCAGTCACCCACTTAGGCAGGACCCACTCACACAGCCCAGTCGGGACAACGCCCCGGGACAGAAGCTGTGGGCCAAACCCACAGTGCAGCTCTGATACGGAGGGGCCTCCCCAGCTGGCAGGCACGCCCACCCACGGGACCCATCAGATAGGGCGGGGCCTCCACGCAGATGGGCCGCATGGTGGGGAGTCACCATGTGGCCAGGACCCCGGAGGGCACAACCGTGCTTCACAGAAGGCTTGTCGGGGAGCCCTAAGGAGAAGATGGGGAGGTTCAGAGATCAACGCCTGGCCCTCTCCTCTGGGGGCCCTTTCTGGAGAGACCTCCCAGGGCTTCAGAGAGCAGCTGTATACCTCATTCCTGCAAACCGGAGCTGGCCAAGCACACAGTGCCACCCCAGGACCACCGCCTCTGGGCCTACCGATTAGACTCTGCTTCGGGAAGGGGTGAGGCAGGGGACAGTACAGTCCCCAGGTAATGTAGGAGAAATGCCGACAGCTGAGGTCTCCCCAGTGCTGAGAGGAGTGGTGATCTGCCCCTTCTGGGGCTCCCTACGAGGTCAGTCTGAATTCACAGTCTAAGCAACACATCTGAGTGGGTATTGGGAGCCTCTGTCCGCTGAGGTTTCCCAAGCAAAGAAGCCAAAAAAACAAAAGAAAAAGGGCTGCAACAGGACATCTTAGTTATTATACACTAACCAGTCTGTGCGTGGCACGTTTTATTTCTATAAAACTAGTACAAAATATTCAAAAATACATTTTAGTAAATTTACAGCAGTTATTTCTCAATTTATTAATGCAAAAACATCCTCTGTTTTTCTCTGTACAAACTACAGGCTCCATCCTTGTGGGCTCATCGCTATGTGTGCTTTTAAAAAATATTATTTTCTAATAAATTCTTTGCAGTTAAAAATAAGAGTTCTTCCAGTTTGTCAAAAAAAAAAAAGTGTGCGTGTGTGTGTGTGTAACAGTCTTGGCTTCCAAGAACGTGGTGAAAATAGTGATGACGACTCAGGTTCAAGACCGGAGGCAGGGCCGCGGACGGCTGCAAGGCTGGAAGTAGTTAAATTAAAATAATATATTTTCATATTTTACACTATTTCAAAAAATGAAATGTAATTCAGTTAAGTATTGATCTCTCAAAAATCTAATTTACAATTCTGTGTATAAAAATATAATTTGTGGACCCCCGTGAAGCACGTTTCAGTTTCTACTTGCTGAGAAGCAGGAGTCTTGGAAGGAGGAGCGAGGGCGCAGGAGCCCTCGGACAGGCAGGACGGGACACGTAGAGAACAGATTCTGAGCAGGTTGGTGGCCTCACGATACATCGCCCCCTGTGAGTACAGTTCACATGATCATAATAAATTATCCAAGAAACAAACTAGTTAAGGCTCTTGAAGGTCCGGTTCATATTATTTAAAACATCTATTCATACCAAACAAATAAATAGCCAGGAGAGGAGGAAAATAACCAAAATAAAACAAGTAAAAATAATTCAAAAAATATATATATAAACTAGACACAACCACAAGACTTCCCGGGGTGTTCGTTCCTCAGAGTCTACTTTGCGCTGTCCTACTTTATTATTATTATTAATTATTAGAAGTAGCAGTCTGGGTCCGAGCGCCTTCGCGCGCCTGGCTCCGTCCGGCTCTGCCGCCCGCCCCGCCCCTCCCGCGCGCTCCGCGGGCTTCAGCTGGACGTGAGCGCCATGCCCAGGGGGTGCAGGGCCTCGCTGTCCAACAGCCAGGTGCCTATTCGGTAGAGCAGCTGCGAGTACCAGTGCACGCCCGCGCCGGGCGCCTCGGCCGCGCCGGGCTCGGAGG